CAGGAAGCCGGGGGGAGGGGGCCAACGCACGCAGCAGTGCGCGTCGGAAGTGCGGGGGGGGGCTCTTCGAATAGTGGCATCGGCGGCGAGCGAGGGGGGGAAGTTTCGGGTTCGAGGTTGGAGGTTCTTCTGACGTCTTCGTCGGTTCTCGGCGATTCTCGGCGGCTTTCCGGCCTCGGGATGCTCGCCAGCAGCTGCGCCTCGCTGAGGGCGATCTGGGGGTGCCCGGGTCGTCCCGAACGGCAGCCAGAGACCAGAGATACGACCCAAAGACCAAAGTCGACGGGAAGCGAGGGGGGGGAAATGAGAAGGAGAAGGCCTTCTCAGAAGGCGGCGGGACTTCTCAGAAGCCCTCGCGCCTTCTGAGAAGTTTAGCGTGTCTTCGGGTGAGGCTCAGACCACATCTCAGAAGGCTGGGTGACTTCCGAGCCTTCTGAAAGGCCCGCCCCTTTTCGCTCCCCCCCTGCGCTCGCCGCTAAGACTTGCAGAAGACCTGCCAGTCAGCACTTGGTGTTCTCCCACGCCTGTTCGTGCAGGGGGGACACGGCAGCATGTTTCCGTGAATCGTGGCACGGAGTTTGTAACAGTAATGGTCGTGTGCGTTGGATGAGGAAGGGCCCGACAAGGAAGAGGTGGGCCGGGATATTGACAAACAGCCCAGCCATATGAGGACGAATCAGAGGAGTACGTGACAGGAGGTGGATGGGGACGAGGAACAGGAAGAAGAAGAAGCTTGGGAAGATGAGGAGGAGGAAGAAGGAGGAGGAAAGAGGAGGAGAGGAGGAGGAGGAGAGGAAAGATGAGGAAGAGAAGAAAGAGGAGGAGGAGGAGGACAGAGGAGGAGGAGGAGGAGGAGGAATAATGAAAGGAGACGGAGAAGGCGAGAGAAGGTAGGACAAGAAGGGACTGCCCGCCTCTTGGGAATCCTCCCATCCATGGCACCACGCCCGCTCGCGATTTCGTTGTGTCCCAGTGGTCTCCTCTCCCTGTCTCCTCCTCCTCCTCCTCCATCTCCTCCTCCTTCTCAGCCCATCTCAGCGTCAGCCCACGTCCCCAGGGCCTGCCTGTTACCGTACCCTTCATACATAACTGCGCACATGACACGAGTGCGGTGAACACTTGCTCCTTACTTGCAGTGCGCTCCGCCTCACGGTCTCGAATTATTTTTGTACGTATGCTTACAATTGTCTCAGCTTGCTGCAGCATGATTGTTTTCAGGATATCAGTACGTGCTTGCGTTCCAGCGTTCTTCTCCTTCAAAGAACTCGTCGCCGTGCTCGCAAATCTGATCCATGCGACACTCACAGTTCTCGTGGCTATCTGGTCTTCCTTTGGGATATCGTGCCAAGCACGGTAACGCGCATACTGGTGTTACTATCACATTATTGGCACGCATATTCTCTCGCAGCAGCTTCATCGCTGTCTCGCATCCGAAGTCTATGGGGTTATGGGGTCGCGGAGGCTCCGCTCGATGTAAGAATCGCCATGCGGATTTCACATTTATATCCACCTACTTCCCCCTGAACACTGACACAGCTAGAAGTCGACGCGAGTATGCTGGCACATTCCGCTGTCTGGAGGACTTGTATTCATCACTGTCATCTCGCACGGTACCGATTCTCGGCATTGACTCGAATTGCCACATCGGGCTCGTGAGAATTCCAGCGGGCCACACACCATCGGATGAGACGTGCACTGGGCCATCCAATCGTCCTTAGCAGCCTCGTACGCAACAGTTTATCGACTTCTTGCTTAAGCATGATTTGATATTGCTCAACACGTTCTACAACAAATGCCCCGCCCACTATTATTGCGTGACGGGCAGCACCAGCTACATAGATCACATCATCATCCCGCGCAGCTTCTATCTTACTGACCATGTTCGTAAATGCCAAACGTTGCGTCGTCTTGGACACCGACTTCAACTCGTTCAAGCTTCCAGGCGCATTGATCATTTTCCTGTATACACTCGTCGAGCACAACGTACGCTATGAAGGCGCCGAACGCGATCAACGTGTCCTTCGGGATTTCGATGCGCTGGTTCGCTCATGGCTTCACGACCCCAGCGCCAGAATGTTTTACGTGCTCTTGACCAATGGGTTATCGATCACACTGCCCACCTCGACAGCATGTCCAACAAGGGCGCGTCAGAGCAGTGGGCCGCCCTCATTGAAAATGGTCTCATTCAAGGTACTGCCAAGCTATACAACATCCAGCGCCAACGAAGTCCACAAGGGCACAAACAGCAACAGTTACTGCATCGCCGGCGCAAGCTCCGACATCAATGCCTCGGCGTTCAACGTAATGGACATGATCCATTGCGTTGCGTTTTTCGCTCTTGGTCTACTGTTGCACGTCTACTATGTTTCTAGCCGAATTAATCGACGTCGACAACGCAATGCACGCCGCCTTCGTGAATTGAACGAGCAACGCCGAGTCGAACTTCAAGAGGCTTGGCGCAATCGGCGACTTGCCAGAGCTTGGCGTCTCGTGCGACTTCTTACAGGCAAGCGCATCGGCCGACGACTACGCAATTATTACAAAGCTTCCCTTCGCCAGCGCGCAGAGGCATAATGGTTTGCCAAGTTAGCTCAGCCAGGTTCTCAAGGGGGCTGGAACTGGATTCGGCTCCCCTTTTATCCATGTCGGCAAGAATTCGACGCCGACCACGACGATCAAGTTCACTTCGACTATCAATGCCACCTTCTTGGGGAATACGATCTTCAACAGACGCGCTGGTGGGCCAGGAATAGTTCTTATCGCCGCGAACCGCCAGCTTGGGACGTCCCCAACGAGGTTTGGAAGATGGTTCTATGGCCCCAAAAGTCTATCGAGCCGAATCACATGGACTTGGTCACGATGACGCACTGTATCAGCCTACCCTGTTTCTAGATCGCCTTCAGCGCATCATGGAGATGACGCGTGCTACATGACGCAGCCAATTTCAATGTCATCGAAGCCACGGGTTTCAATTGCCTAAACAAGATGACGTTCTCATTGTCCACAGCGCATCTTCATTCTCAAAGGCCCACCGCAAGAGTCGACTTCGACGGCCAGGCAAACCTCATAGACCACCTCCCCACCATGCATTTGCAGCCCAGGCCGACGTCGCGAGGAAGCAATACTTACCAAGATGCCCATCTCACACCGGTGCGCGAAGAGCGCTTACCACCGCTGCGACGTCGTCAACGCGTTCGCCTTCCCATCACACGACATCATGGGCGATGCCACGCACCGCCTTTTGCTTCATGACAATGACGAGCTTGCGACGGGACCGCAGCCGAGACGCCAGATTACTTTCTCCGTCAGGACGAACGCCTCCTGCGAGAACACCACAGACATTATTATGTTGCACTGCGGGCATGCGACGCGCTTTTGCTGAATGCTGCCCTTGGAGCGGCGCGCTCGAGGGCAACGGCGTGGCTACTACTACATTTCATGTTCCATTTTGGCGTGCTGCTCGCGAATGGAGTTCGCGCGCGCGGGATCTTCAACTCGTTGGTCGATTTCCTTTCAACGACGAAGAAAAAGACCTATCCGTCACATGTTGTGTTGATGATTCTGCAGACAGTTTGTGATTTCCGACCCGGCCGATTTCAAGCATGCACAAGCAGCGCATGGCGCTTCTCCGAGCCAATGCGTTGCTCGATGCACCATCGCGCAGCACAAGGGTAAGAGCGAGTCGACGGTTCGCTCCGATGGCGCAGGTGGCCACACTTAGCAATGACAAGTGCATGCTCATCAAGGATGTGGTACTATACTTCACGCTGCGCGCTATCTCGGGCCTTGCCTTCGCTGCAATAATTGCTGCTACGCCGAGCGCAACCTCCGCCTCCAGGCCGCTAACAAGGCATGGTTCAGCTTTTGGCGCTTCTGGTTCACTCGCGCTGATCTTCGGCTTCGGGCTCTGGTATTTCGCCGCGCTGTCTGGTCGGCGCTCGCGTCTGGTCTCGCGGCGTTCGCACTCCACCAGCATAGCTACACCGTCTTCGGCAAGCGCATTATTCACCGTGCGCGCAAGCTATGCAGAGGCAAGGCTACCATCATGACGGTTCAGAAAGACGGCGCGACCAAGTACACGCCAGTACCTACTATTGAGGTGTGCAGAAGCACTGGCTTGTCTGACGCCACTACTGAGTTTCGCATTCGACGTCTCAATGGTTTCAACAAGCTTGCAGACGCCCTCTTCATTGCCAGCTGCACATCATAGCTATATTTGGCCGCTTACCACATGATGGGGATAATGTCTGCGATCGCCCATTTGTCTCAGAGTTGTGTGCGAATTTCTATATGTCAGCATCCCGCCGCCGTCGCATGAATACGATCACGACGTGCTTCACCATTCGCCATCATCATGCTCACTACGTGCGGGTGAACGCTACTGCAGTCTCATGCGCACTGATGGTAACATGTGTACGTGCACGTTCACCACGCCCACGGGATTTCGTCTTCACCGCGCACGTGAACAGTCTCTGCACCGTATGGTCTCGCTCCTTTCGATAGTGATGGATGCTATAGGTCCGCGGTGCTCCACACATTTCGCTACTCGAAATCGCTCGAGATCATGTTCGGCGAAGCTGGTAGTATGGTCGCTGCAAGGTCGATCAGAGCTACCTACCATCTCCTACCATCGTGTCCGACACGACATATTCATGTCAGATCTTTGGTATGTATGGCAACGCGTTCGAATGCGATGGCGTCTATGTTTATCACCATCATACCCGTTCTCAACATCTGTCTGGCCCAAGGCGATTCGACTTCTCAGGCATTTCGCCTTATTCGATTTCGCAAAATCCCACCTCAGCCTCGGGCTCGTCGCCGGCGCAGCGCCGCGGCCAGCGAGGGAACGCCGCGTGGGGGCCAGCTCGAACGACCTCGCGGCCCTCGTACTTCTCATCGCCAAGCTGACCCTCAGCATTGCTATGTCGTCACGGATCACGTGGGCAATCGTGCTGGCAAACTATCAAGTGAGCGAAAGCTACGAGTTCTTTGCCCAGGGGGGGACTTCTACCGAGAACCACTCGGAGTCGGCAAAGCAGTTCGCGATGGACCAGAAACAGCATAATATCGCCACGTTTGCACATCCTCACGTTCACGCATGGAACGCATGGATCTTGCTCGCCGAGTCCAAGCTGCAGGAGAAAGAGCTCGACCCTCCGCAGATGGCGAACCTGAGCGCATACAGTCAGAAAATGAAGAACAACAGCTCCGAACCCAAGGATTACCTGCGCGCGCTGAGGAAAGAAGTTCGCTAGGCCAGGTGCTGCAAAACCTACGACAGCAAGGTGAAACGCCTCGAGGCGAACGCAGTCGCAGGCACCCCGAGCACCACGATATTCGAGAATATCATCGTACCGATCTTGCTTCGCGAGAAGGCCGCGAAGCTCGAGGGCGTGGCGCCTCCGGAGGATCTCGAGCGCAGGATCCAGGACGCAGTCGACGAGATGGAGACGCGAGCCCTGCTGCCGATCTTCCAGGCACCCGCCGCCGCTGCCGGCCCAGAGACAGGCCCCCCCTTTCGCCCCCGCTCCTCCTTCTCCCCCCCCCCCTCCCCCCCTCTCAGTGTGACCGATGGCGCTCGCGTGTCTCAGCGGTTCCAGCTCGCTCGTCAGCGATTCTTTAAGCGCTCGAGTCCAGAGTTTCAGAATGCACAGCAGTAAGACTTGTGTGCGCTTGTGCTACAGGTGCGAGTGCACGGCTTTCGCGGCCCCTCGAATTCGTACTGTTGTTGGGCTTGCGTACGTTGTCGTCGGTGGGCCTTGCTCGTGTCGCCGCCTGTTCAGCGTCGTTTCTCCGAGCGTTCCAGCCACTGTGCACGGAATCTCGTCACAGGCCTGTTCACAGACATTCGAACACTCGCTCTTGTGAGTCGTTATTACTAGTGTGATTATTGTTGTTATCAGTCGTATTCTGCCTCCTCCTCCTCTTCCTCCTCCTTTTCTTTCTCCTCCTCCTCCTCTTCCTCCTCCTCCTCCTCCTCCTCCTCCTCCTCCTCCTCCTCCTCCCCCATCCTGCGCCTACTGTGGCTGCCTCTCCGCCTCGCCCTTCCTGTTATTTCAAGCCGCCGTCGGGCGTGTCAGTGCGACCCCCCGCTCGGGGCGCCAGCGACGTTTGAGGGTGGCGGAGCGGCAGGCGTGGCAAGCCCGCGCGAGCGTTGGCGCTTTCGGGGGCGGCGCCAGCCAGCGAACTCGAACAAGGAACTCTGCGCCGCGCAGGCTTCCGGATGCCCGCGCGGATTTCTCCGATCGGCGCTGGGCCACGCTTGGCAGCGCCCCTGGCGGCGTCTCTCTGGCGCGCTCCGGGCGCCAGGAAGGGGGGGAAAAGCGCCGATTCATGAAATCCGCGCGGACCGCCTGGCATTTCCTTTTGCTCTTACAGTCCGCCCGCGTAGTAATGATGAACGACTCCCCAAGGTTACCCTTAGGAGAGGCGATGAGAGGAGGGGAGAGCAGAGGAGAGGAGAGGAGAGGAGAGGAGAGGATAGGAGAGGGAGGAGGAGGAAGAAGAGGAGGTTTGACTGATTGACTATGAATCGGACCCAACGTGTCGTCACGACTTGCATGCTACTATACTGCTGGAGCGTGCGCCTGTCTACTTGACTTCTGGGTCTATCTGGAGCTGGGCCCCTCACTCGCACCAGAGGGGCGCACTGGCACTGAGGGCAAGCTACTCCCGCACTCGTCGGGCTAGCCGCCCACGAGCACTCGGGTGTCGTGACTCTGCTGCTGCAGCGCCCCTCGATTTGCCTTTACGGTGCGACGGAGGGCGGAGGAGGAGGAGGGGGAGGCATCCTCCCCCTTCGGCCCATCCTTGGCCTCTTTCGCTGGCCGCGCCCCGCTCGCAACGGGTCGGCATGGGCTTCCAATCGGGGGTGGACAGACCTCCTACCCTCACACGTCGATTCGCGAATTGGCCGTTTTCGGTTCGCGAGAGGGCGCCGCGGCCGCCATTTTTGCGGGTCCAGGTCCGTCGGTTTCGGTCCCAGGCCGTTTTCACGAAGGGGAGGTTTACTACAGGGAGGTCTGTCCACCGCCGATCCAAGGCCTTTGCATCCTTATCGTGCGTCCTCATGGCACGGGTCGCTTGTACTCCGAGTGGGGCTGCGGCGGCCGTGTGATGCGCCGCGGTGCCGACCAGGCGCTGCCCTCCGGGCGCCCGCAGTTCTGTTTCGCCGTCGGGCGCGCGGGGTCCTGGCGAACACGCAGCCCAGAACCGTCGCCGGGGGGGAAGCGGGTCCTGAGGGTCACCACCCACCAAACCACCCCAACCCAACCCGAAGGCTCAGATTTACCCTCGATTTCTAGTGGGGGGGGGGGTCCGGGAACATCGAAAAAACACGTGTGGAACCCATACCCCCCCCAACCCGAAATTCGGGTCTTCGGGTTGGGTTGGGGTGGTCTGGTAGGTAGTCAGAGGGTCCGGAGGTTTTCGCAGCTTTCGGGTTCGAGGGGCCTTCCACGGGCCCGGCGACTGTCAGAAAATGGCTCAGGATGATTGCCCCGGGGGACGGCCCCGGGGTCCAGGACCTGTTTCCCTCAGGACCTGCTTCTCCCATGCTGAAGCAGGTTGCGAGTGTCGGCCTCGTCGTCGTTCGTCCTCCTGTTCCTCGGGCGTGCGCAGCACGTCTGGGCGGCCAGGTCGTGGCAAGAAGCCTGGAAGCATCGAAACAATCATCCTTCCTCCTTCTTCTCCTCCATCTCCTCTCTCGTTCCTCCTCCCTCCCCACCTCCTCCCTCCTCTCCTCCTCCCTGCTCCTTCCTCCTCTTCCTCCTCCTCCTCCCCTCCCTTTTTCCTCCCTTGGTTCCTTTCCAGGCTGAAGAACGTACTGCTGGCCGTGGTCGACAGACGTTGCTTGCAGGATACACTGGAGGCGTACTGCTGGCCGTACTTGCAGGCGAATGAACGTACTGCTGGCCGCGTACTGCTTGCAGGCTACGCAGGCTGCTACAAGGCGGCGGATGTCGACAGGGGCATCCAGAAGCTGAGAGAGGCCTGCGAATGCAAGAAGGTTCTGTGCCGGATGGGGGCGTGCGCCGAAGACACCCTGATCCCAGCGAGGGTGCGAGGGAGGAGCAGAGGAGGAGGAGGAGGAGGAGGAGGAGGAGGAGGAGGAGGAGGAGGAGGGGGAGGAGGAGGAGGAGGAGGAGAAGGAGGACGAAGAGGAGGAGGACGAGGAGGAGGAGCAAGAAATGAACCAGAAGGAGGGGGTGGCGGAGGGGGGGGGGGGTGGATGCGGGCGGGTGACGGAATGGGGAGAGGATGGGTGGCATGAAGGGGAGGAGTAGGGCGAGGATGAGAAGGAGGTGGAGCATGAGGACGAGGAGGGGCAGGAGGCGGGGTGCGAACCAGGGCCGTACGTTTGCAGGAGGCCTTAAGGAGGACGATGCGATGGAGCAGGGGAGCAGAAGGATGGTAATAAGGATGGCCACATGTTTTGATGAAGAGGTTGAGGATGATGGGGAGGGGGAAGGTGTGTGAGAACCATGGCGACCACATCTTTGAAGAATGCCTGATCCGTGTTGCTCAGCCCGCATCCGCACGTTCCCCCATTCTCGTCCTGCTGCCCTGCTTCTTTATGATATCCTCCCTTCTCGTCGTCCTCATGTTAAGCATTGTCTGCCTCCTGATCCCTCTCCTCCTCGTCCTCATCCCTCTCCTTCTGCGCCTTCTCTTCGTCGTTCGCCTCCTCCCGCCCCCCCCCCTCTCTCTCTCTCTCTCTTCCTCTCTCTCTCTCTCGTTCTCTCTCTCTCTCTCTCGTTTTTTCCTTCTCACCCTCTCTCTCTCTCTCCCCCCCTCTCCCCCTCTCTCTCTCTCTCTCCCTTAAACATATATATATATATACATATATATATATATGCATGTGTGATCACATGTATGCACACCTCCCTTTCCCTCTCCCTCTCCGTCTCTCTGTCTTTCTTTATGTCACAACCCTCCTTGGTTGGGTATTCGTTTTGAAAAGAGCACTGAGGTCTCCAGTCCTCCTTCTCCCGCCTCTCGCCTCTCGCTTTCCTCTTGTCTCCTCTTGTCGTGTGCGTACCTCGTGTGTGTGTGTGTGTGTGCATCCTGGCTGTGGTACCTTTTTTGTGTGTGCATCTTGCCAATGGGGCTGCGATCTGCGACACTGTCGCCACTTTCAGAGGGCTGCTGTTGGGTCCAGCGGGGTGAGGCACCGCGGGGACCTGAGCGAGACCTCGCTGTCCCAGGGGGGCTGCGATCTGCGACATTGTCGCCACTTTCGAGGGCTGCTGGTGGGTCCAGCGGAGTGAGGCACCGCGGGGACCTGAGCGAGACCGCGCCGTCCCTGGGGGGGCTGCGATCTGCGACATTGTCGCCACTTTCGAGGGCTGCTGGTGGGTCCAGCGGAGTGAGGCACCGCGGGGACCTGAGTGAGACCTTGCCGTCCTTGGGGGCTGCGATCTGCGACATTGTCGCCACTTTCGAGGGCTGCTGGTGGGTCCAGCGGAGTGAGGCACCGCGGGGACCTGAGCGAGACCTCGCCGTCCCTGGGGGGCTGCGATCTGCGACACTGTCGCCACTTTCGAGGGCTGCTTGTGGGTCCAGCGGAGTGAGGCACCGCGAGGACCTGAGCAAGACCTCGCCGTCCCTGGGGTTGGGCTGCGATCTGCGACACTGTCGCCACTTTCGGCGGCTGCTGTTGGGTCCAGCGGGGTGAGGCACCGCGGGGACCTGAGCGAGACCTCGCCGTCCCTGGGGGGGGGGGCTGCGATCTGCGACACTGTCGCCACTTTCGAGGGCTGCTGGTGGGTCCAGCGGAGTGAGGCACCGCGGGGACCTGAGCGAGTCCTCGCCGTCCTTGGGGGGCTGCGATCTGCGACATTGAGGAGGGGAGTCAGGACGAGAGAAGAGGTAAGAGAGAGAGGGAGGGGGGAGGAAGAGGAGGAGCAGGAGGAGGAGGAGGAGTTAGAACGAGAGAAGAGGTAATAGAGAGAGAGGGAGGGAGGGAGAGGAGGAGGAGGCGAGCCGCCGTTGTCTCGACTGCCCCCCCCCCCTGAAGGGCACTGGCGACGACGGGCCGGAGACGACGCACTCCCCCCACGGCGCCCACGGCCCCATGATCTTCGGCGCCCGGGGGCTCTCCAACCGACGCTCCCGCTCGGCCAGTGCTGTTCGCCCCGCGATCTTCGGCGCAGTCGTCCCGCCCCCGCTCTCCTTCGCACCGCGCCAGGGGCGATCGTGCACGGGAGGAACGGGGGAAAGGGGCGATCGTGCGCGCGAGGGGGAAGAGGCGAGAGGGAGGGGGAGAGAGGGAGGAGGATCGGGGGATTGGGGGATTGGGGGGGGAGGGATGGAGGGATGGGGGTGAGGGAGGAATGGAGGGAGGGAGGGAGGGAGGGCGGGAGGGAGGGAGCAGGGAGGGAGGGAGGGGGGAGGAGGAGAAGGAGGAGGACAATGCGGAGCAGGAGGTGGTGGAGGAGGAGGAGGAGGCGGAGGAGGAGAAAGAGGAGGAGGAGGAGGAGGAGGAGGAGGAGGAGGAGGAGAGGAGGAGCAGGGGGAGGGGGAGGAGGAAGAGGAGCAGGAGGAGAGGGAGGAGGGGGAGAGGAGGAGGAGGAGGAGAGGAGGAGGAGGAGGAGGAGAAGGAGGAGCAGGAGGAGGAGGAGGAGCTGGGGGAGGAGGAGAAGGAGGAGGAGGGAGAGGAGGAGGTGGAGGATTTGAGGTGGAGGTGGAGGTGGTGGTGGAGGAGGAGGAGGAAGAGGAGGAGAAGGAGCAGGAGGAGGAGGAGGAGGAGGAGGATTGGAGAAGAAATATTGGAGGATTGGAGGAAGGAGAAAGCGGAGGAGGAGTAGGAGGAGGATTCGGGGATTGGAGTATTGGAGGGAGGTTGAGGAGTGGAGGAGATGGAGGAGGGGGAGGAAGAGGAAGAGGAAGAAGAGAGAGGAGGGTTGTCGTGCCGCCGCCGCGGCCGTCATCGTCCGCTGCCGTGGCCGTCTGGGGAGGAGACCGCCACCCTTGTGTAAATCCGCGTTTCCGGCGAATGCCCTGCCGCCTGGCAGTGCGGCTAAAAAATCGCGCAGCGCCAGTGGACGTCCAGCGCGCCGCCTTTCGCAGCCTGCCCTCGGGCAGGCCGCCGGTCTTCGCGGAGTCCTCGGCAGACGACTGGAGGAGGAATATGTGATATGCGTAGTGTAAGTATCATGCGTCGATGTGCTTCCTCCAGTCTGCAAGGGAGGGCCCGTGGTCTTGGCGCCCGTCACCCTTTCACCAAGAGGAGCCAGGCACGCCAGAGCCGCCTGGTGGCGCGTCTGGCCGAGGCTGCTGCCGCGACCGTCGGCGCCTGCGCTTGCTCTGCTCTCTGCTGGAGGTCGTCGAGGACTTCGTCGAGGTCAACGTCCAGTCGGCGGCGAGCCCGGGGGGAAGTGAGAAGGGGAAGGTCCTCTCAGAAGTCTCGGAGTTCTCCCGGCCTTCCGAGAAGTGCCCTGAGCCTCCCCCGAAGACATCGAACACCTCTTAGAAGGCGCGAGAGCTTCTGGGATGTCCCGCCGCCTTCTGAGAATCGGGGGCGGCAAAGGGGGGGGTGATGACTACGTAGGGGGGGTGGATATCATGGCGTGGGCCATGATATTCCCCCAGATTTCATGCGTCCCCCAACCTGGGCTGCGCACATGCCGCCAGCCATGCTTTGCGCCCCCCCCTCTTTGACGCCACCCTCTTGGCCGCCCCCGAGAGAAGGCCTTCTCCTTCTCACTTCCTCCCCCCCCGCTCGCCGCCGCTCCGGTCCGGATCTGGGCACCCCCAGCTCGCCCTCAGCGAGGCGCAGCTGCTGGCGAGCACCCCGAGGCTGGAGAGCCTCCGAGAATCGCCGAGCACCGACGAGAGCGTCAGAGAAACCTCGAACCTCGAACCCGAAACTTCCCCCCCCTCCTCCTCCTCCTCCTCCTCCCCCCCCTCCTCCTCCTCCTCTCCTCTCCTCCTCCTCCTCCTCCCTCCTCTCCTCCTCCTCCTCCTCCTCCTCGCTCGCTCGCCGCCGCTGCCAGTCTTCGAAGAGCCCCCCCCCCCGTGGCTCGCCGCCGCCGCTCCCGCCCCTCGTCGAGCTCCGCGCCTGACCCACCGCCGTGGCCCGGCCGCCCGCCGCGGGCGCGCCTCCGGTGGCGGCCGCGGGGCCTTCCTCGGCGCCTCTGCGCCCCTTCGCTGCGGCCGCTCTGGCTGTGGTGGTGAGGAGGAGGAGGAGGAGGAGGAGGAGGAGGAGGAGGAGGAGGAGGAGGAGAGAGGAGGAGGAGGAGGAGGAGGAGGAGGAGGAGGAGGAGGAGGAGGAGGAGGAGGAGGAGAGGAGGAGGAGGAGGAGGAGGAGGAGGAGGAGGGGAACAACGCTTGGCATAGGCCGAAGACCACGAAAGACAGAATGATAGCCGGAGCGCAGCATCCCCAAACAGGTCGGGAGCCTTGAGACGGGGGTCAATGCAGACGAGGGTCAGTCAGGGCGCCAGATCCTGCAGGATCCTGCGAAGACCCCCTCTGGCTGACCCAGGTTAGCGAGCCGCTCGTGGCCGCGAGGCGGCCGCGCATTTTGGCTGACCCGGGTTTGCGAAGACCTGCGTTGCATTTTTTTCCTGTATTGCAGTTTTTGGTATCCTGCTGACCCGGGTCTGGATTGACCTGGGTCAGAAGATCCCCGAACAGGGTTTTAAAAACCACTGCGGTTTCCAAGATCGACTGCGTGCCCGTCCAGTGCGGGCTGGCGTGGCAGGTTAAAACCATGATAACATGATATTCGCACATGAGATGCTTACACGAACACTTGCGTGACGCATGCCTATCAGGGAGCTAACGCTAAAGCACATGGCGTAAACCGAACACCACGAATGACACATATACACATTGTTCATGTCTCAGTAGTCGAAAGTTTTTTATTTGTGTTGGGGCCAAGATCCTTTCATTTCTAATTGTTCCTGGTCCTCTTCCTGGCCACCAGGAGGCCAGGAACAATTAGGAACGAGCACACTTAGAAATGAGCACGATTAGAAATGAACGACGTGTACAAGCACGTCGACTGCCTAGAACACATAGGAACATATGGGAAATATTGGGAATCCTGGGATTCGTGTGTGTGTGTGTGTGTCTATGTACCTGTATGTTCGACCTGGTCGGTGCTCGCTGGAAGCACCGGCTCGGCAGGGCCCGCGGCGCATGCAGCCGACCCCTGTGGCACGCGTGGCAGGCTCGGCAAGGCCTGTCTCTAGTAGCTGCTGCTTCCTGGGCCGCTTGGGCTTTGCAAGCGCAGCTGGGCCATCTTTCCACGCCTCGGCCTCCCATCGTGGCGGCGCCGACGAGGCCGCAAAGCGGCTCGTGTGGATGACTTTCCAGCGCCGTCCTCCTCGAAGCCGTCCACGAAAGTGAGGCGGATGAGGAGGAGGGGGAAGAGGAGAGATGAGGCAGGGGATAGGGAGGTGGCCGGGAGGGAGGAGGAGAAGGCGGAGGAGGAGGAGGAGGAGGAGGAGGAGGGAGGAGGAGGAGGAGGAGGAGGAGGAGGAGGAGGAGGAGGAGGAGGAGGAGGAGGAGGAGGAGAGTGGGAGGAGGAGGAGGGAGGAGGAGGAGGAGACGATGGAGGAGAGAGGATGGTGGGGGAAGGATGGGCGGAGGAGGAGGAGGAGGAGGAGGAGGAGGAGGAGGAGGAGGAGGAGGAGGAAGGAGAGAGGAGGAGGAGGAGGAGGAGGAGGAGGAGGAGGAGGAGGAGGAGGAGGAGGAGGAGGAGGAGGAGGAGGAGGAGGAGGAGGAGGAGGAGGAGGAGGAGGAGGAGGAGGAGGAGGAGGAGGAGGAGGAGGAGGAGGAGGAGGAGGAGGAGGAGGAGGAGGAGGAGAGGAGGAGGGAGAGGAGGAGGAGGAGGGAGGAGGAGGAGGAGGAGGAGGAGGAGGAGGAGGAGGAGGGGAGGAGGAGGAGGAGGAGGAGGAAGAGGAGGAGGAGGAGGAGGAGGAGGAGGAGGAGGAGGAGGAGGAGGAGGAGGATAAGCGAGGAGCAGCAGCAGCAGAAGGAGGATGTGGAGGAGAGGAGGAGGAGGAGGAGGAGGAGGAGGAGGAGGAGGAGGAGAGGAGTTAGGACGAGAGAAGAGAGAGGAGGGGGTAGAAGGAGGAGAAGGAGGAGGAGTTAGGACGAGAGAAGAGGTAAGAGAGAGAGGGAGGGAGGAGGAAGAGGAGGCGGAGCAGGAGGAGGCGGGCGGAGATACGAGGACCTCGGGGGAGGAGCCGGAGGAGAAGCGGTAAGGAGGCGGAGGAGGCGGAGGAGGAGAAGGAGGAGGAGGGAAAGACGAGAGGGCGGCGGATCCCAGGCATCACGACGGTGCGCACGTCGAAGCGGACCGGCTCGTACAACCCCGTCAAGAAGACGCGGCCGAGCTCCAGCAGGACTCGCCGGGGGCGGCCGTGGACCCCCCGAGGATCAGCGCGAAGATCACGGAGGAGGAGGAGGAGGAGGAGGAGGAGGAGGAGGAGGAGGAGGAGGAGGAGGAGGAGGAGGAGGAGGAGGGAGGAGGGATGGGAGACGATGGAGGAGAGAGGATGGTGGAGGGAGGAAGGATGGGCGAGGAAGAGGAGGAGAGGAGGAGGGAAGGGGAAGAGAGGGAGGAGGAGGAGGAGGAGGAGGAGGAGGAGGAGGAGGAGGAGGAGGAGGAGGAGGAGGAGGAGGTCCCGGGCGAGAGCATCTGCTTTTCGTCGTCTTCGGGCTCCGGGGGCCCTCCCCTGGCCCCAGGACCGTCAGGGAAACTGCGGCAGGTTCGTGCGGCGATGGCGCGCCGGCAGCGCCCTGCGGCGGCGTTCGAGGCTGTATTCTTCGACGCGGAAGCACCGAGGGACACGGTGACGCCACTGGACCCGACGAAATTCAACCTCGAACGATCGGGGCCGCGATCGGTTCATTGTTGCACGATCGACGCGGTGTCGAAAACCTGTGCGCGCGCCGACGCCTGCACAAACCTACCGCACGCAGGACGAAAAGCTGGCCCCAGAGACAAGCGCCAGGGTGTGCAGGACCCGCTTCCCTCAGGAAGATGCTGCCCTTTGGGCTGCACTCCCTGCCAGCTCGATCCCGCGCTCGACCGTCTCGCCCACTATTGGCCCTGTCCTCGTTTCGTTCACCTGCGCATCCACGTGCGAGGACCCGCTTCCCTCGGGAGCGGAACAGTATGTCGCCTTCTCCGAGTGCGAGGCGTCCTGGGGTCCCCCAGGGAGCGGAGCAGCACGTCGCCCGGGCGAGGCCCGTGCGACCGCCTCAACAGCGAGGTGCCAGCTGCTGCGCTGCACGTGGCGTGGTTGCGCAGGCCACGTGCGGGGACCCGTTTCCCTCGGGCCCTTGTTCTTTCACGGTCAGGAAGAGGAGGAGGTTGAAGGCGAGGAGCGGGATGGGCAGAGGACGACGACGGTGATGGCGATGATGCTGATGATGATGCTGATGATGATGATGATGATGATGATGATGATGATGATGATGATGATGATGATGATGATGATGGTGATGGTGATGGTGATGGTGGTGGTGGTGGTGATGGTGATGGTGATGGTGATGATGATGTTGATGATGATGCGGCTGTCGATGATAATGATGATCATGGTGATGGTGATCGTGATGGTTATGGTGATGGCGGTGTTGATGATGATGGTGATGCAGATGCTGGTGATGGTGCTGGTAGCGTTGGAGATGACGAATCTGATGACGACTATGCTGTTGGTGATGGTGTTGTTGATGCTGATGTTAATGACGATTATGTGATGATGGTGATGATGATATGCTGATGATGATAATGGTGGCGCTGATGATAATGATAATGTCGACTACGATGTTGTTGATGATGATGGTGATGATGGTGATGATGATGATGATGATGATGATGATGTTGGTGATGGTTATGATGATGCTGATGATGATTGCGACCTTGGTGATGGTGGGCACGATGAATGTGATAATCATGGTGATTATGATGATGCCGACGATGACAATGATCATGATTCATGACGACGATGATTCTGGTGTTGCTAATGATGATGCTGATGATGACGACGACAGTGGCGATCAGTATGATGAGGATAGCAATGATGACGACATTGGTGATGATGACGATGATGCAGCTGACGATGATTTTGATGGTGATGGTGATGGTGATGGTGATGGTGATGGTGATGGTGGTGTTGATGATGATGGTGATGCTGTTGTCGGTGATTGTGCTGGTGGTGGTGGTGATGACGAGTATGCTGATGACGATGAGGATGATGGTGGTGTTGATGAGAATGATAATGACGATTATGATGTCGATGGTGATGATGATGATGATGATGATGATGATGATGATGATGATGCTGATGATGATGATGAGCACGGTGAATGTGATAATGATGATGGTTCCGGCGATTTCATGATCATGATGATGATGAGGACGATGAACTTGCTCTTGTTAATGATGATGACGACGCCAGTGGCGATCATCATGCTGAGGGTAACGGTGATGGTGACCTTGGTGATGCTGATGATTATGATGATGATGTTGCTGTTGATACCGACGAGGACGATGACGATGCTGATAATGATGATGCTGATGATGATGATGATGATGATGATGATGATGATGATGATGATGATGATGATGATGAGACGGAGGAGGAGGAGGAGGAGGAGAAGGAGGAGGAGGAGGAGGGCGGCGGTGGTGATGTCGATGATAGCGCTGCTGCCGCTAATGGCGATGCTGCTGATGCTGATGCTGAGGCTGTTGATAATGATGATGGTGCTGGTACTGATGGTGTGATTACTGGTGATGGTTGGCGAAGGGAGGATGAGGAGGAGGAGGATGAGGAGAGGAGGAGCAGGAGAGAGGAGGAGAGGAGGAGGAGCAGGAGGAAGAGGAGGATGAGGAGGAACAGGAGGAGGAGGAGGAGGAGGAGGAGAGGAGGAGGAGGAGGAGGAGGAGGAGGGGAGGAGGAGGAGGAGGATGACAAAGAGGAAGAGGCGGAGGGGGGGCGGAGGAGGAGGCGGAGCAGGAGGAGAGGAGAGGAGGAGGAGGAGGGAGGAGGAAGGAGGAGGAGGGGAGAAGAGGGAGGAGATGAGGAGGAGGAGGCGGAAGCGGAGGCGGAGGAGGATGTGGAGGAGGATGAGGAGGAGGAGGAGGAGGAGGAGGAGGCGGAGGCGGGGGAGGAGGAGGAGAGGAGGAGAGGAGGAGGGAGGAGGAGGAGGAGGAGGAGGAGGAGGAGGAGGAGGAGGAGGAGGAGGAGGAGGAGGAGGAATGTTGTCCAGGCGCGGCTGAAAGCGTGCAAGCGGGGCTGGCTACGCAGACAGACTCAGGCGAGAGCTTGCCAAGTAAAGCCTCGGGCACATCCCAACGGGAGTGCCGCACGAGCAAGGGACAGGAGGCTAGCCTGACACGGCGCAATCGTCCTCGACCACGACCAGACCCCCGTAGGTGGCGTCGAGGACACAGTCGCCGAAAGGGCGAGGCCTCAGCTGTCCCTGCACAGACGACAGCAGCGGCTGCCCAGTGCGAGGGTGCAGGCCCTCCCAGAGACGGTCTAAACGAGTGCGCGTCTTGGGGGGCACTCCACCGTGGCAAGGGAACGCCAGGAGTTGCGAATTCTCGCTGGAATGCGCACCACAGCGGGCGCAGACGACGAACTGGCCAACGTGCCAGACGCGGTGGCCCCCTCTAGGGGCGCACACGGCTGGGATGAAGGCGTCCCGTTGCCGAGCGACGCGGAAGCACTTGGTGCACCTGAAGCCCGTAGGAGACGGCACGGGCGTCTCCGTGTCCGCCGTGAAGGCTGGCGTCGGCCCCCGTCGCCTGGCCCGCCGCAGCTGTCCGTGGCGCGGCGCCTGCTGCGACTTGGGGCCGACAGTCTGCATTGTCCTGACTCGGAACTTGGCCACGAAGGTGACCAGCTTAAAGGAGCTCTGCGCGCGCTGGCTGGCCTCGGCATCCTTGGTTGGGATGGAGGGAGGCGCCCACACGGGCGCCTGCATCAGCGTGGCGGTTCCCCCACCTCGCGACAGCACCCAGCTCCTGCTCGTCATCGTGACGTCGGCGGGCATGGCCTTTCACCTTCCGCACTCCCCTCCCCCCAAGGTCACCCGATCCCATATTTGAAACCACACGTCAGCGCCCTCGCACATGGCGCCCGTGGTCTCGAAACGGCCACGCTGGAAGCTCGAGGCCACCCAATTGCAGTCCGAATGGTAGCGAAAAGGGGCCCAGCCCAACGTGCGTGAGATACATGAGCAGGCCATAGGCCTCGGCCAGGTCCGACGCTTGGTACGGACCAGGCAGCAGGCCGTACAGGGACGCCACGAGGTCCCCACTGTCGTCGACCTGCACGACACACCAACCCGCGCGTAGGAGACGCATGTCGCCCTGTACAAGCGACACGCACGAGCCGTCGCCGAAGGCCTCGCCTTCGAGATGGCCGTCCAGCGGACGCATGAGCCAGCGGACGAGTAGGGGGGAGGAGGACGAAGTGGAGGAGGAGCAGGAGGAGCAGGAGGAGCAGGAGGAGCAGGAGGAGGAAGAGAAGGAGAAGGAGAAGGAGGAGGAGGAGGAGGAGGGGGAGGAGGAGGAGGAGGAGCAGGAGCAGGAGCACGAGCAGGAGCAGGAGGAGGATGCCCGCGGGGTGAGGCGGACCGCGTCGAGCCACGGCCACCCCTGCGAGGCGCGCGCCCCACGCGCGCCCGCGCCTCGGCGCAGCTACGCACCCGAGGCTGTCGGCCAGGCCTCACCCCGCGCGGCCCGCAGCAGCCTCGCCACCTTGGCTGCCAAGCCTGGCGAGCTGCTGCGCTCCCGCGCGCCGCGCCGCGGCCTCGGCCAGCCGCCTCCGCCGCCCGCAGCCCCTGCTTCGCTTCGAGCAGCAGGGTCACCTGCGGGCGGCATCCTCTCCTCCTGCAGCCCGCTCTCCATGGCCACGCGGTCGCCGCCCGCAGCCCCTACTTCGCATCGAGCAGCAGGTTCCCCTGCGGGCGGCTGGACCTCCTCCTGCGGCCTGACCTCTGTGGCCTCGCGCGGCTGGGACGGTCCGCCGCCACTGCCACCTGCAACCGCCTCGTCACCTGCCTGCGCAGGGCCCGCCACAGACCGCTGGCTCTCGTCCTGCCGCTTGGCCACCTTGGCAACACGCCTCGGCGACTGCGAGGGCGGCGTCAGCTCGGCCAGCCTCGGTGAGCTGCTGCGCACTCGCGCACGGCGCCGCGCGCCTGGCCCTCCGCCGCCGCCCGCAGCCCCTGCCTCTCCTCGTGCCGCGGCGTGGTGCACCGCGGCTGCACGCCTGCCGCCAGCTCGCCCGCTCGGGCCAGCCGCTGCGCTGTAGTCCTCCGCTTCGTCCGCCAGCACCTGGACTCCGCTGGCCACGCGTGGCTGGGGCGGCCCGCCGCCGCTGCCACCTGCAGCCACCTCGTCTCCTCTCTCGGCAGGGCCCGTCTCAGGCCGCTGGCTGCCCTCCTGCCGCCTGGCTACCTCGGCCGCCGTCTTCAGCGCCAGCGAGGGCGGCGTCGGAGTGTCCTGCCTCGGCGAGCTGCTGCGCACACCCGCGTGGCGCCGCGGGCCTGGCCCGCCGCCGCCGCCTGCAGGCCCTGCCTCTCCTCTTGCGGCCTCCTGGCGCGTCGCGGCTGCACGCCCTCCGTCAGCTCGCCCTCTCGGGCCAGCCGCGCCGCGGTAGCCCCCGTGGGTCAGGGGACGCAGCAAGCTCGCGTCCTCGCCGCCACCTGGAGCTCCTTCTGGCTTGCGCAAGGCGTGGCCGTCCTCCTCCCCCGCGACGTCCTGCGGCGACTGGCCTCTCACCTCCTGCGCGTCGTCCGCCATCATCGGCGGGGGCGGTCCGCCGCCGCTGCCACCTGTGGCCACCTCGTCTCCTCCCTCTGCAGGGCCCGCCTCACGCTGGGGCCTGCTGCGGTCTAACCCCTCACCGCGCGGGGGACCGCCGAGTCTCGCACTGTCCGCATCCACAATGCTGCTGCCCACTGGCACGGGCATGGTCCCTCGCCTATGCCACCCTCTGTGTTCGCGGTTCACGTGGTATCCGCGGGCC